AAAAATTACAAACCACTAGGGTTAGGTAAAAATAATAGATTAAGGCGTATTTAAGGTTGTTTTTAAAATACATTAACGATTGTGTTTGGAAATCTGTTATTCCAAGCCCTCTTAGTGTGTCGGACACGGCAAAGCTCCACCCCTCTCTACCTCTGCTGCCCTCCTTCTGTTTCCACCAGCAAACCGCCGACCATCGCTCTGTGTCCCCCCTGTTGTGTTGTGACCGATAAATTAGCCTACAGGACCCTGCCATGAGCTGCTGCCTCGTTTATGGATGAAACGTACATCCAGCACATGCTGTAGCTCCCAGTTCGGAGGGACTTTAAGGTGTTCTCGGAGCCAAACGACGTGAAACCCTGGCTCGGTTTCAGGACCAGCCCAAGGCAGCCACCCTGCCATCCCGTTCCTGTGGAAGTGTCCCAGGAAGTGGACGGCTACAGAGACGTAAGATGTGCAAGTTGGAGGACTGCACCTTTGACAGCTTTGAGCTGCTGTATAGCGGAGCTGTGGATAGGATCAGAAGAAATAAAAGTAACCTCAGCCTCAGTAAGTGTAGCAGCTTTAAACCTGGGATTTATTTGGCATTATGATCTTTTAACCTATAGTTTAATTATCAAACCTGAGATATGCAAGATCATTGTAGCTGATCATGGTTTAACAGACTCCCTGAAAGCTTTACTCTCCTATTCTTAGGTTACTTTGTTAGCATGTTGTCTAGTTAGGAACACAAACTGGATTTTGACCATTAAAGATTCAGTTTGGGTTTTTGTATGATTATGATTATTATATGATTTCACAAGTAGTGTTGCTTTTGGCTGTCGCTTGTTTCAGCTTGGAGTCCTAGCCAGATTTAATCGATGTAATCGCAGACATTAACTCTAGAAAAACTATCAGCATGTCAGATTTAAGCGACTTTTCATGTGGCTATCTTCTCCAAAGATCCATCTTTACATTCAGGTTGAAACTTTTAATTTCTATTACTTGTTTTAAAAGGTTCCCCCTTAAACCTGATGATTCTCTCTTCAAAGGGAGGTTTGTTATTTATTTCAGAAGAGCACGCTGGAGAAGGTCAGTGCTTCAAAGTGACATCTTGTTGCTTGACATTTAGCTAATCCCTTTTCTGTGCTGCACATAAATGGTTCAGTTACTGGCCTTCATTTTTTTTTTTCAAAGATACCCTGTGATACTAGAATTTCTATAGAACTCAGCGCTCCTATTTTAGAAGCAGAACATGCAGGCATATTGACAGAATTATTAATGTGTTTTCTAATGTAGAAAGCCACACTGGAATAGGGACGGGAATGTACTCTAGCTCTTTCTGCCTGACACAGATAGCATATGGTGTCATGTTGTCGTATGGCCTATTTCCATAGTGTTGTCCTGGATGGACTTGTGGGAAAGGAGTCGTCCATTTCTCACAGTTAAGAGAAATGTAACCTTAACAGATTACATGAAAGCCTACACTTCCCATAATGCCTTTATAGCGCCAACAGGTTTATATTCAGCTGTGAAAGGGAAAGTAGTACCCTAAACCAAAGTTTTTTTTTACTTGTGTACCACCTTGGCCTTTTTATGGTACTATGAGTACCGACTTGGTCAAACGTGTCAATGATTTTCCAAATTTGGAAAGCATAGCTGATTATATAATGAACATTTAATTCTCAGGCACATCATTCTTTTCAATATAATGAAAAAATAATATGAATATGTTGCCTGGAATAAATATTGAACCAACTACAAAATAAGATTAAGTTATAAATGTAGAAACTAAAAAAGTTTTTAACAAAAACTGGAGTTGTTCTGAATAATTTCCCTATAATCACATCTAAAGTTGACAAATCAGGGGAAAAAAAGCAACACTTAAAAAAAAGTATAATATTCAGATTTACTGTCATTTATAATTTGCTTTCATCAATCAGCTGTTTATTAATGGGACACCTGACCTCATACCTGGCCTATATTTTAGCCATTTATCCGTGACTGCAGCTATTTTAGTATGTTCTTCCCTTGTGACCTTTTTATTTGCCCCTTTCCTTTCTCTCTCACTCACAGAGCAGTTTTGTAGATGCACGGCACTGATACCCACTCTACTGATTCATTTAACTGTTGATTAGGACATTTCTTTTTGGTTGAATAAAATCTTGATTTTTTTTTTTTTTTTGTGTGTGTGTGTGTTTGGGTCCTTACAGAGCAATACAACCAGAAATATTTTATTTTATCTCTATCTGGGAAATAAAATATTAAATATTTTCCATGTACCCCTCTGCAATGCAACGGTGGACCACTAGGGGTACTAGTTGAATCGCTGCCATAAAGGATTGGGTTTCCTCTTGATGTCTAGTTATAGTTTTTCATAGTTCAGGGAAAACCAGTGTGTATCCAAACATACCTTAAGATATTGGTATTAATGTAAAAAAAAATCCAAACCATCCTGTTCTTTTGTGGAAAAACTAATCTACTAACATATTTGTCCAGCCTTTGTAGGAGGAGCCATCACTCTTTTGGTTTGTGCTTCAAGCTCTGCCATAAAGTCAATTTCTCTCCTTTGTTTTCTTGAAAGACTTCCAGCGGCATTATGGATCCTGCTTTAAACTATAGCAGGTGAAGACCGATGTCTGTAATCTCCTGGATCAGCACAGACACCTGCCATTGTTTTATGCTTTCTCTCGTTTATTTTTGTGGAGCAAACAAAGCCATAAAAAATTTCTTTCTAATAATTTCCAGGATGATGGATGTTTCTCCAAAGGTTTTTAATTTCATTTGACCTTAATGACGGGTTGTATTTGCTTCAGAAGATGTCTGATGGATGCCTTTTAGGGGATTTCTTGACTCCTCAGGTCTTGTGGCAGTCAGACCTCTCGGCTCAGGTTATTAGTTTTCCACATGGGGCCTAGCAGGGTATGATAGTTGTATTTCCCAGAAAAGAGGTTATCTTCTTTTGCTCAGGATTTTTTCTATTTTGTAGATAATTAACTGCAATCTGGAGCATTTGATTGTGAAAACATTTTCTATATTAGAACAATTGCACTATAAGAGAATCAAATGATTATTTTTCCAGCTCAGGTTTTGTTGTGAAAAATTGAGTTGTGAGACTTTTTATAGAGAAAGTAGCCATAGATTAAATATCTCATTAGATCATGTTACATAATAATTTCAGTATGAACCAAATGCCTGTATCACATACTAGTCCTCTCCAATATAGTATTTTATTACACACAATTCTTCCAAATATTATTCTCTGCTATTTTTTAGAAACCCTAAATGGATTGAAAATAATTTATGTTAAATTTTCTAATATTCTGTAAATCACTACTGTAGATGTAAATGATGAAATTGAAATTGAAAGTTGTAAGCAGTCCCTAAAACTATCTTCATAAAAGATGAATGAACGCTCCGCTAAAAACCAACACAAAGTTTGTATTGACTGAATTGGGACGGCTCTTGTTTTGTTTATCTTATTGGATCAGATCAGCATCACTGTGTCGATCACTCTGGATTTCTGTTCTTCTCTCCATTGATGCAAGTCTGACTCGGCCCTGGGGAAATAAAGCAGACCCTGTTATAAACAGGACTGCTTTAGACTTAGACGGATTTATTTTGTCATTTTGTATACACGAGTGTATACAATAAGAAATTTCGTTTAAAACTGATTAGATATTGGTTTTGGGGTCAAATATATTCTGTATGTTAGCAGCAATTCCTTTAAGCCTAACCACAAACTTTAAAGAAAATTTATTAAACATGAAATGAGACTAAGTATCGATTTTGAATAATTTCATCCGCACAGTCAGAAATGAAGTAAAATAACCATACCATTTTGTTGGAATATTGACCGTTTTACTTTTGTGTGTTAATATGTATGTTTAAAAGTCACATTTTTCCCATATTTCTGAGCTCTAAACTTCCCTTCAATACTGGTTTTAGAATGATGCTAATGCTTTAGCTACAGGAGGTTAAACAGTAAATGTTTTATTAGCCATAACGGGAGATGATGAAGGTCAAAAGTAGGGATGCAACAAATGATTATTTTACTAAATGATTAATCTGTTGACCTTTTTTTTTTTAATAGTTGGATAGAAAAAGGATCCTTAGGGAACATTTTTTTTTTTTAAGAATTAAACACAGTGAAACAAAAACTTTCCAGGTTAGGGAGTTCTGGATTACGCATATTGATGACCAACAACACTTTTTATCTTAAATGCAAAATATTTCTATAGATTTTTATCAATTTTTGTATAATTACTGATCTAAGCGGTTCGGTCCATCAGCTAAAGGCATCTTTTTATAGTCTCTATATTCCAGTTAACGATTTTTCGATGACTAAATTAGTTTAAGATTATTTCAATAACCGTTGAATCGTGATTAATCCAATTGTTTAGGCACTGGACAAAAGTAATGTGAGAAAGAAGTAATAGCTGCCAGAGTTGGAAATTTAAACTTGTAATTGATGTGTGGTGAATGTGGTGCCCCGGCCTCTATAAAGCGTCTTTTTCTCCACCATTACCTTTAAAAAAAAAAAAAATCTTATTAATGTGATGCAGATCAGCTTTTTTTATTTTAAGGGTACATTTTAAGTTGAAGTATTTCTCTGAATTTGGTGGATTAGTGCATGCAAACCCTGAAGCTTCTGCAAATACGCACACCTCCTTTGGCCTCTTTCCTCCTCCAATATTCATGTGATCCTTTAGTCGGGGACAATGGTGTGAGAGGAAATGTTGCTGATGCTGCAGTCCGGCCTCAGAAAGTCCTGATACCTGAAACCAGCTGACTGAGAGGAAGAAGTTGCGTTTATAAGACAGGATGTAGTTGAACGTGACTCCAGTTTGAATGCTAACATTCTATTTTTCTCCTTTTTTAATGATGTGAAACTGAACAAGGAAGTGAAACTGTCGTATTTCTATAATACTGAAAGTCAGTTTTAACTTTTAACTGTGTCTTCAACTCTAGTTTGTTGCATGTTAGAAACTAATCCTCAGAATTTTCGTTTGTATTTTTCCCAGAGGAGGAGCTGAGAAAGTTGCGGGAAGAGACCAATGTGGATTCTCTACGGCAGGAGCTGGAGAGGGAGCGGAGTAAAAGGCTGGATCTGGAGCAGAAGATGAATGAGGTCCTGAGAACGAGGTAAGCTGCAGATGTGAGTAATGAGGAAAAGATGGAGAACAGGTTCAGGTCAGCAGAGTTCACCATAGGTCAAGTGTGCATGTTTGTTAGCGCTGGCATTGGCTGCGGTTTCCTGTTATAAATAGAAGCATCAGCAGCTCGGTGGGCGGGGAATTCCTCAAGGAGGTGAGTTCGTGCCTGAGCTTTGAAGGAGATGGAAAAACAGGGTCGCACGCCAAAACGTATTGCCAGCTCCGTGTGACCCTGCAGCTGTGCTGGTGTCAGCTGGAGTTATGCCTGCAGGACTCGGCCTGTCTGCGATCAGCTGATACCCCTGTGGCCCACCACTGAGAAATACTACACAAGTTTCATACATCACAAATAAACATTTGTTTACTAATCATAGAAAACATTAATGATGGCTATCGTAGCAGATTAATGGAGCAGCAATGAATGTGCCTTAAATGATCTCAAGACAGGCTTACTGAATGCACTAATGAATCATGATACAACAAGATTACAAAATAAGGAAATCGGTGTTCAAATCAACCTTTTCTTTTCTGTAGGTAAACACCACCGAAGCAGCCGCTTTGGATGTTATCATCCCATTTAGCGGTTATCAGTCCCATAGAATGGCTTCAGATTGTGCTTCCTACCTCGGGCCTAATCAGGCTCAGTAGGTTATCCCAGAATTAACCCTTTTTTACCCAGAGAATTTATCTATTTATGTGTAATCTGAACATAATTTTAATGGTTCTTCATCTATTGTTAAAGAAAAAAGTTGATCAACATGTCACTCATATCGAACAAATCTCATATCCTGTCAACTCTTGTTTTTAAAAATTAAAGCATTAAATCTGTGTGACTGGAACATGTTGAATTCACTGGAAGTAAAGCTTTAAAATGCAGTTGTTGTTTTTTTAAGAAGGTATGCTGTAAATAAAGTACATAAAAGTACAAAGGAGGTAAATAGAAAATAAAACTTAATAGTCGCCGAAGCGTCTATTATTAACGATAAGCTGCATATTATCAGCCATGAGAAACGTACTAGAATGTAGAGGAGGTGCAGCCTGGAGCCTTTCTATGGGACTAATAATGGCCATTTAATGATTGATCACATCTGAAGCGGTTAATTAAAGCATAAATCTGTGTACTTGGAGGTAATATTTTAATCTACCTCATATAAAGTCATTGCGACAGCTGAATCGATACAGGTGAAGATGTAAAGGCGAATGCATGGATTGATTTTTGCAGAGGCTATGCTCTTTTTATGGCAGTGATCATTTAGCGAAGCACCTGTTGTTGGGCTGCTGTCTTAACGTGGACAGATTGGGGTTAAAATTGCATCTTATCAATCTGCATGTACCCATTTCTCTCTGTGGTTTGGCATCGGTTGTTTATCGAGCGAAGCACTTCCTCAGATGTTTGTCCTGTGACTCTAAAGCTTGTGGTGAAAATGAGAAGTTGCAACTCAGCTGAGTTTCCTTCGTCTTTCTCTACCCTCAGACTGGAGGACTCTCCACCTCAGCCCCCAAGGAAACAGCAGTCGCCCTCCAACAATGGCACAGGTAAGCCCCAGAGGGAGATGGAGAGGTGGGCTCTGATGGAGATATTTTCTGTGGGAGCCTATAACTGAAACACAGTGGGCCGGAAGTGTTTGTGGCCTATTGTAGGATATGAGACTGTGCGTGCGACAGTTGCATGTGGTGATTTCCTCTGTGCAGTTAAAGCAAAAGAGCAGCACCGTGTCTGCACCACATGCGGCACTGTGTGCTTGTTTCTTTGTTTGTTTCAGAGGATAGATGAACTCATTGGTGCAACTATATGTTGTGTGGATCTTTGGGAATAAGTGTTTTTGTCAGTTTGACCCCCAGTTAGAGTGGCTTCTGTGTATGTGTACCTGTCTGTAGCTCGTCTCCAGAAATGGGCAGACCCCAGAGTGCTGTCTGGAGACGAAGGTAGGAGCTAATTAAGGAAAATAGGTTGTGATTGTGGATCACTTCATGTAGGTCAGATGACTCTCTTATCTTCAGTAAGGAGGGTTGAAGAAGAATAAGGAATGATGGAAAGTAGAGTTTAAATTGTTCTGGCATATTCCAAAAAGGGAAAAAACAAACCACTGGACTTTAGTTCAAAGTTTGAAGATGTTTTGCTTCTCATCCAGGAAGCTTTTTTAATTCAAAATGTCAGAATAAGCGCTGAGTTCCAAGCTTTATAGAGTAGCCCAAAAACAAGGCTCTGTTTGAGCTTTGTTAAAGTGAAACGCCTTCAAACTTTGTCCAATGGATTGTTTCTTAACTTTTTTGGAATGACTATGACCTGGATGACTGAGAATCTTTACCAGCATTCTGACTTCTTAGTAAAAATAACTTAATATCATTGTTTCAATAAGGTTCAGTTCATGATACTGATAAGTTTTCAATAAAAACTGAACTGTTTAATCATAAAATATCTGGAGGAATGTTCTTATAAGAGAAGATATGAGGTTTTTGACCTATCAGCTCGCTGTTCTGGTTGTTTTTGTTCTAATCAGCATGGCTCCTGCTTAAGGCCAAACAGTAGGAGCTTTTGTTCTCCTTGAAAATGTTTTCTGTCTTCTCCCCACTGGACTTGGCAGGGTTTGGCTAGGTATTCAAACTATAGAGATCTGAGTTTAACAAGTGCTTGTTTTCACTATGTCCAGTAGTTTTGAGTAAAGTAATTGGTCAACTCTTAATCAGCAGGTTCTCTTAAAGTTCTAACTTTAAAGTATGTGATTGACCAGTTCCTGGCGGTATTTCACTGGGAAGTGAAGGGAAGCTTTCAAACTTTTGAAGATTTATCGTAGGCCTTTAATTAAACTTCATATTTGGTTTCCTTTGATCTACAGATGAGGATTGTGGCCATTGGGGTGCAGTCACTCAATAAAGCAAAAAAGGACATTGATTTTGGACTTTAATCTCAGAATAAAATGTCGAATTATTTTGGACTCTATGGCCAAATGAAAGGACTAACAATTCTATAAAAAGGGAATATTACAAGTACTCAATTCTATGAGACCAAAATCAAAATTATGAGAACAAAGTCAGAAATCAATCAATTTATTTATTGAGTGGTGTTTTTTTTTTCTTTTAATGTTCTAATGCTGTTGCATCATGATTAGTTTTCTCATCCTTGCTGAAAAAAAAACAACCTTTCAGCTTAATGCTGCTGGAGATGTTTAACCGTTACGATATTTTTCAATAATCTAAACCTCCTTTCATTGTTTCCACTCTCATCCCTTGATAATGCCGTTTGTTTACTAATGTTCTCCAGCAAATGCACAAAAACTACTCATTAAAATGAGCATATATGCAAGCAGCTGACTGGAATCATCTGTCGTTCAGCAGAGAAGCAGCAGAAGGAGGTGTGGAGTTCACGGCTGCAGAAGTGGCTGTACGAGCGCTTCGGGGTTTACATCGAAGACTTCCGCTTCCAGCCAGAGGAGAGCACTGTGGAGGCAGAGGAGCCGCTAAGTGCTAAAAGGTGCGTTGGATTTTTTAGGGACTTATTTGCTGTGTTCAATTTTGGTGGCTGGATCCGTCGAAACAGTTAAAATGAGAAGGCCAGAAGAGTTTGGGTATAGATTCAAGCAGATCCAGCCTTCCCCAGCTTTCACCACCTAGAAACCATGTAAGTTGACTCACAAATGTGGCGAAGACTGGGTGCCGAATGCTGTTTGCTAATTTCATGTCTGCAGAGCTTCAGCAGCTATACCAAATATCAGATTATTGTCCCCACAATGCAGAGATATTGGAATCTGTGCTTACGTCAGAAAAAGGGACAGATAAAACCTTTCAATAAACCAAGAATAAAAAAAGATATTTCTGAATAAATAACCATTTGAATGAACTATTTTTATTAATTATTCACATACTTGCAATTTATTAAACTGCACTTACAATATTCACCACTGTTGGCGCCATTTCCCCTTTTTCCTCTGAGCACGGAACAGCCAGCTTGATTGGACTCGTAATGAATCAATGGATAATTAGGCCACAGAGGATATAGCGGTCCTTTACTTCCAACTGGGTGAAAAGAAGGCTGCATTTGTCGGCCACACACGAAGGAGTTTTCCAATCCTAACAGACCAGGGCGCTGCACTATGATGTAATCGGCTGACGAATCTGGCCTTCGTAGGACGCAGCCCCTGCATTCAAACTCAGCAACTGAGCACGAAGACAGACATGGCACACCTCAGGGTCATTAAGCTGCTGCTGTTACGGATTTAGTGGTTGTTGAAGTGAAAGTTAATTCAAAACGCTTATTCATGTTGTCCTTGTAGCTTTGGATCCTGTAGATTTTAGAAGCTTCGCTTTTCTGTTTCCTCTATAAAGGACTATGAGTCATAGCAGGCTGATGAAGGCTACCCTGTGGCCTTCTCTTTCCTAACAAAGAAGCTGAATTTTGTCTTCTGTGCTATTCCTAACCTTCACTCTTCCTTTTCTCATTTCAGGTTGACAGAAAACATGAGGCGACTCAGTAAGTTCTTTAAAACTCATACAAACTGTAAACAAGGATAATGATGTAACATTTTTAACAACATCCAGTCTTTTAATTAATGTTTTTTAGTCCCAAACCTTAACTGTACACCTTTTTATAAAGTTATCCTAACACATCTTCTTAACCTTGTTTTAGAGCGAGGAGCCAGACCTGTCACTAACTTCTTAAGGAACCTCTCCGCCTTATCCAACTGGCACTCGGTCTACACCTCAGCCATTGCCTTCATTGTGAGTCAATACTTTACATAAGAGCCTCCATATATAAGTCAGCCCTAAGAAAGTTTTATGCAAAATATGCTGTCAATTTTAGATTTAAGATGAGGATTAAACACATTTCTGCAGGTGAAGCTTTAGAGTTTGTAGATGAGGAAACGAAACGAATGAGTTTTATGGGTTTTATTGACTCTCGCAAAGATCGCTGAGGTGGAATTAGATCATTATTAATGTCTAAAGTTGTGCCAACTCTTCTGCCAGTTGATCTGTAGCCAAAATTACTCTGAATCTTTGATGTTTTGTCATTTAACAACATAATGATAGTAGAGTTTGTCATGATAATCATCGATTGTCAACGAAAGGATGAATTTTTCTTTTATTAATGGTAAAAATAAGTGTTTTTTTTTTTATTATTTGATAAAGAGGATCCAATTGTCCTTATTTTCTCAGACTCTTAACTCTAGGTTTTTATTCAAATCAGAAATACTTTAATAATCCCAGAGGTAAACTACTTTTGTTACACGCTCCAGTGCAAAAATAGTGCATAAATCTCAATTATTGTTAAATATATAGATATTTTTAGTTTTTATTTGAACCATTTCCTTAATTTGTCTTTATGGTTTGTGTATAATCCCTGAGCATGATGCTGCCGCTACCATATTTCATTATTACCATTGTGTGTTCAGGGATATTTTCTGTTTCATGTGGCCTATGAAGTAGAAAATAGAGTTTATTCATCAAGCTACTTTCATAGATAGAAGTTACAACCTACTTCTCAAACATTAAAGAGGAAGAAGTTTAATAATTCTAAAACCAGATCATTTTTTCCCCCACCTATTTGCTAAATTTGAAAACTGCAACCAGTTACTGCGTCTTTTTATTAGTTTTATACGTTTTTGTTTGGATTTTACTCGGGGGTGTCAAAATAAAGGGAGCTGAAGGCAAATGAAGGAAACCTTTGCTGGTGGTTTGTGAAATAATTATTTTATTTCTGGCTGGGCACACAATAAAAGTTTAATTATCGTCTTTTGTGTTATTATTGTTTAAAGATCTGAGCTTTTTAGTTGCTAAACACCTCCTGATGATGAGATGTTCTCTTTTCTTCAGATTTACATGAATGCTGCTTGGCACGGCTGGGTGATCCCCATGTTCCTCTTCTTGGCCATCATACGCTTATCTTTAAATTACCTCATTGCCAGGTAAAAGAAAAACTAATTTGTCTGTTTTCTGCATAAAAGTCGTTTAAATGTTAATAACAGAGAAGTCGGGTAATGAATAGATCTTTAAATTAAATGATGTAATTATAATTTCTTTGTGTGCCAGAGGGTGGAGGATCCAGTGGAGCATTGTGCCTGAAGTTTCAGAACCCATGGTAGGAAATCCTCCAGCTAGATCACAGCAAATGCAGCTTCTTTCATGGATCAAAGTCTGTTTTAATTTACTGCTCATTGTTTTGCAGGAGCCCCCAAAGGAAGACTTGACTGTGTCTGAGAAGTTTCAGCTTGTACTCGACGTTGCACAAAAAGCTCAGGTACAGGATTCTTCCACACGGCCAAATCCAAAATAGAAAAGAGTTTGGTTTATGGGGTTTTCTTTGTTCCGTCTACAGAACATTTTTGGTAAGATGGCCGACGTTCTGGAGAAGATAAAGAAGTAGGTTCCGCTTCACCTGAGATCCCGTCCTGCTCTTCCTGCAGCAGAACCCGACTCATTTCCTGTCTGCCTCTTTGTGCGTTGCAGTCTGTTTATGTGGGTGCAGCCTGACAGCACCCGGAAGCTTTACATCTGCCTGTGGGTCGCTTTCGTCGTGTCCTGCGTCCTGCCATACAAGCTGATGGGTTTCATGATGGGTGAGACTCACAAACATTGCACACAGTTTTTAAATATCAGTGAAACCACTGAATAAATGCAGCTGTTATACACAATGAGAGCACTTCCTGATCAATATAGTTAAATCATCCGATGTAAACGTTTATAAAACACCTGCTGAGCTTAGTGTTTTTTATTAATCTGAAGAGCATCTTTTTAACAAGCTAATGTCTAAATTAATCAGGCTACCTGCTCAGTAGGTGGACTTTGAAAGACTGTTCTTTGAATTAAAAAAGACTAAATTATTATTTCAAGTTTAAAATAAGTCTAAAATGTTTTCTTTTTTGTAATAAAGTGATAAGTTCAGAAGCCAGCTAACTGGCAGTGTGCAGCTGCAATCTGTGGATGGAAAGTGCTCCAGCATTTTCTCTGCATGATCCTTAGAATGGCTAGAAAAGTATAGAATTATATTAGTTTTTTTTTTTTTTTTTTTTATCCATGTGTGGATATTTATGGGAAATTAGAACCATCTGTCCAGGTTCCTTATTTAAAGCTCAAAACTGATAATAAGAAAAGGCTTAAAACTTCTTTTAATGAGCAAAAATCTGAAAAGTTGATATGAAAACTGTGCCTCCCACCATCTTCATAGCTTCTACAGAGCTATAGAGGGGAGTATCAAGCTGTGACATCAAAGTCACAATCACTAGATTGTTCCAAATCTGATTGATTAGTTGGCGGTGCCTCTGATTTCATCACAGCCCTTTTTTTTCCCGACCTCCTCACTAGTTTCTCTCTCCTCTCCACAGGAGTGTACGCCGGTATAAAGTTCTTCATCATAGACTTCTTGTTTAAGAGCTGTCCAAAGCTTCGAGACAAGTATGACACACCTTACATAGTATGGAACAGCCTCCCCACGGACCCCCAGCTCAAAGAGAGGACCAACGCCACCGTGTCACGGAGGGTGAGTGGACCGGCTTTCCTAAACAGATCAAACTAAAGGGTTACAGGTTGTATGACAGTGTAGCCCAGTCCTCCGTCGCACACAGAGGAGCAGAGAAGAAAGAAGCGAGCTGCTCTCACTCTGTTCGCTCTCTGTTCTGTCTGTGGTTACCTAATGGTGTGTGAGGATGCGTGGCTTCAGTCTCAGGTCTGTTCTGTTGTTTCTCTCTCTCAGCTCTCCTGCATTGAGAAGGTAGGGGCTCTGGTGTGTCCCCCACCCTTTGGTTTCCTCCCCACCCCGCCCCCCTCTGTGCGTGTGGGTGTGCCCACGAGCTCACCTCGAAGCGTGTGTGTGATGCGTGACACTTTCAGGCAGTGACTGAATGAAAAGGATCAAAAATATCAGAAAATATCCAAATATTTATATCTTTAAATTAAATACCAACCTGGTTTTCTATGTATCAGCAACACTTCTGGCATTTCTGATCCTACATGCTCTCAGATTTAGTCTTTATTAAGTAGCCAAGAAGCACATAGACCTGTTTCATTTGACTTTATAAGGTTTCCTTGTTTACCTTAACAAGCACTAATAAACCCTGAGTTATAAAAGCTGGTAGTTTTATGTAGAAAAACTCTAAGCATAAAGCCATCATGAGATGTTTTAGTGTAAAGGTTGGCATTTTTACACACGGCAAACATACACCTGAAACTTTTTCACAGCATCATCGTGGAGTGATGGATTTTATCATTGGGGGGCCTGGTGGGTTTATTGGAAGATGAATCCAAGAGGAAAAACCAGTTGGAGGAAATAATGCTTTCCAGTAAAAGCCGGTACAAACGTAGGGAACCCATGGATGGCTTTCCTTGACTTTCCACGATGCTCCATCACTGGGGTTTAATCCTCTGGGGTTTGGGATGTGAAAAAGTTTGAGGCGTGTGAATGCTGCGAGAAGGCGCTGTGAACTAACCAGAGTCATTTGGGTTTGTGCTCATCCAGAGGCTAAGTGAATGACGGCCTCCCTCTCAGCTTTGCACGTTTACACCCGAGCCTGACGTAATGAAGTGCACATGCAGAGACGCACATTGTTCAGTACTAACAGATCAAGATGATGTTTGGAGAGAATCAGTGATGTGACCTGTTTCTCCCTCTTTTATCCCCTTTTTTTTCCATCTTCGTTTTCCCCTTCATTGCCTTTTCTGTTGACTTATCACTTCTATGCCATCCTCCTGGGGTTTTTTTTTTTCTTTCTTTTTCTTCCTCCTGTTTCTTCTCCTCTCATATGGCCCCCAAGGTTCAACCGGTGGTGTCTCGGAGCAGCCTAGCCACGGTACCCAGCGGTATGAGCAGGGAAGACGAGGCAGGTCGCTCTCACAGCACCAAAAAGGGGCCCTTCCATGAGATCTTCAACCTGCCAGAATCAGAGCGCCCTCTGGCGGGTGAGGAGACGTATTACAGCTAGTTAAAAATTCACCACAAGTTTTTTAAAGACTGCATTGAAATCATGTGAGCTTTTTTGTGTTTTCATAGTGTGTGAGAACGGCTGGAGGTGTTGTCTGATAAACAGAGACAGGAAGATGCCCACAGACTACATCAGGAACGGAGTACTCTACGTGACAGAGAAGTATGTTTGGTTGCTCTTGCTCATCCAGAGGTTTAGAAACTGTTTAAGAGGTTATTAAGCTTAGTTTGTGTCAGCTGACCGACTTTCTTCTACTTTCTTTCAGTTATCTTTGCTTTGAGAGCTCCAGCTCCAAATCCAGCTCCTCCAAGAAAAATAAAGTGATCAAGCTGGAGGACATCACAGACGTCCAGAAGGTATCCCACTGTTCTACTGTACTGGAATCCATGCATACAGGCATAGATAAACTGCTATGAAGGACTAATTATTTAATTTTCTTCTTTAGTACAAAGTTCTGTCGGTTCTGCCAGGAAGCGGTATGGGCATCTCTATAGCCACTCCGTCTACTCAGAAGGTAAGCGTTCTGCTCCCACCAGGCGGCCTCCAGCTATAAACTAGAACTAGAACTTTTAAGGAAAAGTTGCTTTTTGTCTCAAACTCAAATAAACGGACTGGTGCTGGTGACATCTCATTGGATGTTAAAGATATGGCAATGTTTAAAACTTAAAAATATATAAGGTTTGTAGAATTATGCCGCCTCGACCGAAAGAGGAAGTCTTCAAATGCTGTATCTAGATCTGGAAAATCCTGGACTTATCAGCAAAAACATCCCCAGATGTTGTTGTCGCCCCTCCCCTCCCTGTTTACTGAGTACAATTTTTTTCATGTTTCTAAAAAATTTTTTCCAAAATTTTCTAAACCACAAGGTACTAATCAATACAAAAAGTATAAAAAAGTACAAAAATTTGGTCAGAAATATCTGAGATGTTTACGGTTTACTAACGGCACTGTGGCTATGAGTCTGAATACAAAAGTTGGTCCAAACAGAGCAAAATCACATTGTAGAAATTTGTTCGCAACATCATTTCAGATCCAGAGCATCAAGCTCCAGAAATCAGCACTTAGAGCAACGGGGAATGTGGCAAACAGCATCTCCAGTTAAAAGATAGAAAACTGAGGAGGACATGGGCTGCAGATGTAAACATTTCCTGGTCACAAACGTACCGAGTAAAAGAAGGAACAGACTGAAGCAACAGCAAAAAATTTAAAAAAACAACAAACTGCTGCCTTTTATCTTTCAATGACTTACCGAACGGCTTTAAGAACACAGGTTCACTCCGAATCCGTTAACACAGAGCAGAGACAGTAGTGAACGCCATTACTGTATGACACAGAATCCTAACAACAACAATGCTCGGAATACAAAAATAAAACAACCATATTAAAAATATAAAGTAAAAATAACTGAGTACTATATGCATTAGAGCAGACTTGTCTGTTCTTGAGATTGACAGCTGTCCCAGCATGCACTGCGGCAGCAGCAGCTTCCAGGGGAGCGCTCAGAGTATTAAGTTAAAAGTTAATTTAAGGTGAAAACGTTATACTTTTTAGCATCACTATGCAGCCTATTTACTGATTTAGAGCTTAATTTTAAAAAAAAGTTACAATGTTGAGACCACAGCTAGCAGCAGACCTCCGATGCTAACAGCAGCCAGGGCTAACGTTAGCCCGTCTGCAGCAAGCCTCTCTGGGCCTGTGTGTGAAGTACCACTGGCTCTGATGGCAGTTTCTTTGTTTTATTTGGCAAAATGTTCATTTGATTTGCATTTATCTGACTTTGTACATTATTATTCGCCCACTAAATTAAAAAAGTAAGAATTTAATATTATCTAGAGACTATTAACAACAGGAGGTGAAATGCAGCTCCAGACGAGCTGAGCGTGTGGTGAAGTCACGAGTACGCTTCTGTTTATTTATGATTTATGCTGTATTCCCTCAGAGTCCAAACTTTCCTGTGTTCTTATCAAGAACATACTTGGTGAGAACTGGAGTCCGTACTCACGTTTTTGTGAATTGAGAAACGGCCAAGGTTTCTAAAGTAGGGTGACTTCTAAACCCAGAAGGACTCTACTTCTGTTTTCCAACACACCTATCACTGCAGATCCAGAAACACGATCTCCAGTTTGCTCACAGCTGCAAAAATGAAGAGTTTTTTTAGGTATGGCGGTGCCTCAGTTATAATTTGGAACATCTTGACAAGAAACCTGCAGAGTGGAGAGAGCAGAGCAATGCTCAGAAGCTGCTGGTAGCTTCTCATAATCGCCTGTTTGGTCATGGTTGAATCAGCTGATTCTTCTAAGAATCCAAATAGACTGGATATGCTGATGAATTGGAGAAAGGTCTCCTAATAAAGGTTATGATTAAAAAAGTTAGTTTTTTTTGTTCTTTAGCCAATAAACCTAATTATCATTGGTGCTTAGCTAACCTGCCTCTTACCAGGTGTTTGCGTCTGTTTCAGCCGCTGGTGTTTGGTGCAATGATCCACAGAGACGAGGCGTTCGAGACCATCTTCACTCAGTACATGAAGATCGTCACCACCTCCAAACCACCGACCAGCGCAGAGATTTAGGCCGTCTGCTCTTCACTTCCACTCCTCCTTTTTTTGGGAGGGCAGCAGAAAACTGAAGCGGAGCGGCTTCTGATTCCCTCAAACTCCTCCTGCTCTCTGGACGGATGTCGGCTCCTCTTTGAAGGCTCCCAGTCCTGCTCCAGCAGAAGGACGCCGTTCATCCTGCAGGGGAAGCTAACAGAGTGAGGAGTCGGATGGGCGTAGCTCCTACGAGCTGCTGAGGAGCTGGATCTCCTCTTCCACCTGATTTTTTTTTTTTTTTTTTTTGTCCTGGCTTTCTGGTGTTGCATGTGTGAGTGTGTGGTGTCAGCTACCATAGGAAGCTTTCTCTAACCTGCTTCGAACTACCAGATTGGAACCGGTGCCTGTTGGCTGAAACCCAACGAAACCACAGTTGTGAACGTGTTCAGCAGCCGTTTGTTTTCCTTAGTGTTGAACATGTCCGCCTCCGACCAACAGAGCCTTTCTGTTAGTTTACATCACCGTTCTTTGTTTTTTTTCTAAACACATTTTAGCAGCGACAGAGCCGCCGATGAAACCGGCTCGCAAACTGGAAAAAAAAAAAAAAAAAACCTTCTGCTTCTGTTTAAGTGTGCCGACTTGGAAAGTGACGTAAACGTTTTAATTCTTTTATTCTTTTGCCTTTTTATTCTTTGAAAGTCTCTGTAAGAAACAGCCTTCTCTGGATGCGTAGCTGGTAGACGAGCACAGCGCTGACTGCCATTTTTTAGATTTCTGGCACAGTTAGAGAACAGTGTTTATGTCAGAGCTCTAGCTGTACGTGTCTGAAGAAATCTATTTTAATGTTTAGCTGGTTTATTTCATGCACTTTACCAGAACTCCTAACTGGACTTGCTGGGAGGAATGTTTGACTATTAAATCCTTCCATAGCTGGTCAACAAAATCAGGCACTTAGTCCCATTAAAAAAAATGTGCAATTAAATAAAAAAAAAATCCTTATTTTATATGTCAGTGTAAAACCCAGGCCTATTTATGGCTTCTGATTTGTCGCTTGAGCTGTTTTTGGGTTTGTAGCAGTTAAAAGTTATGATGATAATCTACAATAGTGCCTCACAAAAGTATCCATAATGCAGTTTTAGGTCCGTCCCTACCGTGCTTCTCCATTAGCTTCCACCTTTTGAATGTAGGTCAAAAAGCAGCTTCTTAAATGTTAAACCTGGACACTTCCTGGTTTTTTCTTTTAACCCCCTGGTGCTCATTGTTCTGTAAAAGCCGGATCTGTGAAATGAACAGTTATCTAGTCCCACCCGAGCTGCAGATGTCTGCAGCTCCTCTCTTCTGAGATACTTTTGTCAGGCACCACAGCTGCTTTTCTCTCCCTCTATCTGCAATGTCACAGATACAGCTGAGATTTCTAGCTGTAGTCAAAGGTCTAGGCTTAAACAAATCTTTAGTATCACTGTATTTTTGAAATTTCCCAAGATTAAAGCAGGTCTTTGCTCTCGGGGAACGGCTTAATCTGTGTTTTAAATTGAATGCCAAACTAAAAGACACTTTCTGGTGTTTTAGTGAGCAGAATGCAGTGATGGACCGGAGGATTATCTTTGGAGTTTTAGTGTGACTGATATGAGATATAGAGTAGCTCTATAAAACTCTCCAGCGACCTAACTTTCCTGTATGTCCTAAACACTGTTCAAAGGGGAAGCCTTGACATTTACTTTTTTTTTTATTTCTGACTGATTATGGTCTGCTTTAAACGGACTGTCTCAGATCCACTAAACTGCCCTCACACTAGAAATGTCAAGGTTTCTCCTCAATCCTAACTCCTCCTGTTCTCCTCCATCTGACTCAGCTGAGCTGGATATGAAGCTGCCTGAACTGCAGCAGACCGGTTCGGTCCGTTTTAGAGTGAGAAGAATGTTTATGTTTTTACTTTAGAATCTGTTCACTGTGCTGAATCATGAGAAGGCTGTTCTCAAATATAGCAAAGAATGTACTATATGATAGAGCCTTCCCTTCCCTGAAACTAAAAGGTTCACTTCCCAGAACTTTTTACACGTTTCTCATCAAAAGCACTATAGCCTGTGGAGCTCCAGCAGGCCGGAGAACCAGAGCGTGGTTAAAGATTCTCCCTGTACAGCTCTAGTTCTGTTTTCTGACCTTTTGACCTCTTTCCTCTGAATGTAAGAACTTAGTTCTTACATTCAGAGTTAACTTTAGAAAGTCGGAAGAAAGTGAGATGGATGTGGGACTACAATTGTCAGCAAGTTGTTTAAAAAAATCTGAATATCTGAGGACTATGCAGACAGAATTTTCCATGACTTTCCAGGTAGTTTTTCATAAACTTCACAGGCTTTTTCAAAAAAAACTTGAAAGAAACCTTCCCTCAACTTGAAACCCAACTTAATATTTTGCAGATTCTTTAGTGGAATATGTCTATTTTTTATCTAAAGATGGACATTTCTTTGAGAAAGTATCCAGGAAATCCCAGGACAGTAGTTGCTACATCAAAGCATGAACCTGGGAAGCTCCAAGAAAGTTCTTGGGAAGTTTTTAATAAATATCTAATTGTTTTTTTGGAGAAGTTCCTGGTTAAAGAAGTTGTCTTTTTTTTCTTTTTTTTTCCTACATAGCACCATTTACTCATTCACAACAAATGTAATCTCTAGAAACTTTACTAAACAGTCTAGTAAAGCCTGTCTAGTAAAGTTTCTTCATGTTACATTGCATCAAGTCTGTATCATGCATATTTGAATACCTCCTGATAAGTGATAAAATTCCCAATAAAGTATCTGGTTAGTTCCAGGAATCTAATCTTGAAGTTCTAGGAAAGTAACCATAAAGTTCTGGGAAAGTAACCTTGAAGTTCTGGGAAAGCACTAGACTGTTCCATGTAGTATTACTGATGTTTTAAAAGTGGAACGTTATTCTTTATTTTTGCCAAAACTTTTTTTTTTTTTCTGTCTGCCACGCTCTGCCTATGCTCATGTTTACATTGATAACAGTTTGATGTTTGAATTCCTTCGACTTTGGAGTTATGAAGACTGAACTGATCTTCTAAAATTATTATTTCTTTTTTTTTTTAAGTGTTTTTTTTCCCGTCTCCAATCAGATGGCCTCATCTCCACAAACCATAGTGACAATAAAACCAGTATTTCAAGCTTCAGAGTGCACGTTCAAGTTAATGTTCAGTTCAAGCTGCCAGAAACATCACAATCGATAGTTACGAGGGATTGCTGTGGCAACATCACTGATTTGCACTAGAAGTTAAATCTCCCAAATGGGGGATATTGTCTCTTTCCTTTCATCTGGTGTCTGCTTTCCCATTAAGTATATTCTGTGTGTTTAGTATTAATGAAGTGTTTCCAAAACAGCATTCATCATCCAAGTGGAGCTCAGAGAGGATACACTCTGGAACATCTGCATCATTTTAGTAATTCTCAACAGGCTGTAAAACGATTAAAATCATTGTGACTCAGTCACAGTATCTAGTCGGTCAGTTGTGGAGGACGCTGTAGTTTTAACAGTAAATTGTCAGCGACTGCAGCTCTTTTTATTTGATTTTTTTTTTTTTGTTTGTTTCCTTTCTTGAAGAGGAATTTGTATACAAAATAACTGAAATGTTAAGAAAATAAACCACTGAGTTTTTAAAAGACACTTCTATTGTAAGAGATAATGTGATGTAATTTTTTTTTTATTTAAGTAAAAGAGTTTAAGATACCATCATGCCTCTGTCTCTTTCTCAATGAGTTTTAAGTGCAGTACCTGCATCTGACCACCAGAGGTCAGTGTGTTTTTACTTTTCCTGTTCATTTTTATAATGTTTTTGGGCTTTTTACATATATTTAAAGACATTAATTATATAAATCTGATTAGAATAAGAGCCTCAATGTGGTTTATATTTCCAATTATGCAATTAGTTTAGTTTTTTTCCACACTTTAATCAAAATATATCAAAATTAAATGGGGTTTTTTGTGTGTCAGAGATTCCATGAGAAATCAAGTCTTCCACTAATTTAAAAGCCAGGATTTGATCTTTTGCAGATAATTTATGAAAGGAAACTTGAACTGATGCTCCCGAACACGAGCTGACAGCCCTGAAGGCTCCTCTAAAGCAGATCTGAGCCTCCCTGTAACGCACTGATCCTCCTGCTGTTTCCCTCAGCAAGTCGCCCTATTTTGAGACAATGCGATGCAAAGAGTGTCACTGAGACAAAAACCAACTTGCATTGAGTTTAAATGTAGTTTGAGGCGAAACGCTGTAAACTGACACCTTTGTGGCTCATATCCCCCCCACTGCTTGAATTGATGGATTTGGCATATTTTTAGTCAGTCAGTCTGAGATGTTTCCATTTAATATCTGTATTCATGACTCTGTGTGACAGCTCTGCTTGCTCTACTTGTCTGGGTTAGTATGTTTTAATTGAAGTGTCACCAGGCTTTAGCAGCTAAACTACAACCCTGGTAGGAAGAGTGAGTTTATGAGGGAGGAAAAATCTGAATATCTTATTTAAATAGTTTCATAGTATCACCATACTGCTTCCTTCATATCTGTCTATTGCATAAACAATTTCTGTTATAGACTTTGTTTAATATAAGAGCAATGCACAATAGAACACATTTTTCATATATATTTAGCCCTGCAATTTTTACTTTTGATACTTACAGTGGATTAAGAGCATCTATAAACATACATGTTTTTAAGACTTCAACCAGATTCTATTTAATGTAGGTCTGGACTTTAAATAGCCCATATTCTATCAAGTTAGCTCTATGTTCAGAGTTCTTGTTCATCTAGAGGATGAACCTCTAAAGCAACTTCTGAGGATGTATTTAAAGCGATCAATCTTCCCATCGTGCTCTCATTCATTTGGGATTTCCTAATGCAATTGATGACTCAATTTGATTGCTTTTTGATTCAGTTAAGAACATTAAGCAATGAACCCAATGACGTTACATTAATCATGTATTTTATATTAACATGACAGTCCCTAACTAAATAGATGCAATGATTTAAATTAAGCACAGTGCCAACTGTTTACATACAGCAGCTTTAGATACTGTTAACAATATTTTTATTTACTATCTCGTAAAAGTTTTTTTTGTAAATGTTGGGGGGAGATCAGCGGAATATTGATTGAAATCTGTCTGAACCTTCAGGAACTTGATGATCTGAGTCTTTTAAACCCAGAAGCATTAAAGTATTTTCTCATTATTCTGACTCCTAACTCCTGATTTGTTTTTTGTTTTTAATCCTCTCAGGCACAGGAGGGATTTCTACCAGAGATTTCTCTTTTGACAACCTGCACAAATAAACCATGACTGAATCCCTTCTCCTGGAAAACCTGACCCATAACCTGACTTTTTAACTGTTGAACGCATTTATTTATTACAAAAAAAAAAAAAAAAAAACATTCTGAACAAGCTGCACTACAAGAAGGTTTACTGTATTTGATCAGAAAAGTTAATACTGAGAATAGTTTTCACGTGGATATAACTTTGGGAACTGGGTGAGATGGAAATACTCTGTCACATGAAGGAGCGCTGAAATAATAATGTTTAGAAGTTATAACAAAATTATTGTTGCAGAATGTCTGTCTACCACAAGGAGCTACAGGACAGCTAAATGTTGTAATTTCAAATTATCAGTTTTTTTAATATAAGCTTAGAGCCTTTTTATTTCTTAAACATTTAAATTCAATATTAATCTGCAAATTTTGATTACATGAGGTTCAAATATATATAAAAAAATTGTTAAACAACTGAAAAAAAGCTCTGATTTTCATTTTTTTTTTTTTTTTTTGGCAGTCACGACCAGTTTCTAAATGGTCTGCTTTTATTTCAGCTCCCAAAAAATATATGAAAAAAATCATATTTCAGAGAAATCCAAACCAAAACACATCAATGACATACAGGATTTTTATCCCAGGAAATCCCTTATGGCATTTTTTTGTAATACCTTCTCCTCATTAATACCTCTCCTCAGAAGCTGTGTGGTTATTTTTTCTTTTTGTTTTGTTTTTTTAACTTTTTCCTACCTCAAATTCAAATTCCAGCCTTAAAAATTCCAACAAATTTCCATAATTTTATCAATCAGCTGACTTTATCCAGGCCCTGCTGGGTTAAACGTAGCACTACCCTTAGCAAAAAGTAGTATACTTAAAGTAAATTCTATTAAGAATACTTAACTATATATATAAGTTTAGAAAGTATTCTGAACAATGTACTTTTAGTGTGCTTGAAGTATTACGAAAGTAATACTTCTTCTAAATAAATTGGGACATTTTTAAGTTTATTAAAGTATACTTTTGTAAACAAAGTTAACAATAGTATAGTCAAGTACACTTGACTATACTATTGTTAAGTATATGAAATATAGTTTAGAACAGGCATACCCAACCTCGGTCCTCAGGGCCCGCTGTCCTGCAGGTTTTAGAGGTTTCCTTGCTCCAGCACAGCTGATTTTAATTGAAAGCTGATTAACAGGCTTTTGGTCTACTGCAATCATTACAATCAGCTGTGCTAAAGCAGGGAAACCTCTAAAACCTGCAGGACAGCGGGCCTCGAGGACCGAGGTTGGGGATGCCTGGTTTAGAATAAGTAAACTCTTAAGTGCACTGCCTGATTTTAAGTATGAAATTATTGCACTTTTAGTATACTTGAATAAACTACTTCTTTTCTAAGGGTAGTTTTCCTGCAAAACAGTTTGCAAAAGTATATATGATTAGCGGCACAAAAAGTACTGTCAAAAATAGCATTTTGCACTTGCCAGGTTAGTACTGCTACATTACTGGATTTATAGCAAATATGGTGAAGAGGGTGATGCTACATCATTGTTTTAAACTGGCAAATAGTTGGTTTTAACATCCTCAATAAGTTGTTACATTCATGCTGATTTTGCACAGTTTCTACCTTAGTTAATTAACATGCTGCTGTCATTTTGCACATCTCTGATGTTGCTGCTATTTTCAAATATCCAAATAAATGTAAAAATATCCAAATATATTGATTATTTATTCTCCAGGTGCACAGCTCTTATATTGTTTAAACAGTTTATAGTATAGAAT